GCGCAGGCGGGGCGGTGGCGGACGGCGGTAGAGGGAAGTCGCTTGGAAAGGGGCAGCGAGTGGAGGCGGTGGGGGTGTCGCTTGAAAAATCTGCCCCGGAGCAGAACTGAAAACACTAACGCAGGCAAACCTGCGGTGTTTTACATGCCCAAAGTACACCGTCCGTATCGGTGAAAGGAAATCGTAAAGCTTTTGCGTGATAGGGAGGTGGTTTTTACCTGTTTGGCATGTGTTTGGTCACAGAGGTTTGACCTTGCCTCCTGAAGCCTCATCTTTGACAGGATCCTGTAGAGCAGTTGCAGTACGCGTTAGGGAAAGGTAGTTTTCAGATTGAAGTAGAGACTTAGGAAAGATCCAGCGCTGAAGGGTTCTGAAGTACTAAACGTTGATTTGGAGACCACGAGGATATTTTGGGGGATAAAGCTGGAGTAAGGAAAACAGTTATTTATTTCAATAGTGTGTTTTATTTTAAGCGTGGTCAGAATGTTATTCTAACTGTTCAAAGTTGCTGGTAGCTATTTCAGAAACTTAGTAATGGCATCTCTGCTAGTGGGTGATTCTCGTAGAAGACTAGCATTCTTGATGTAAGAAGCTATGTATACTGACAAGAAAAACAAATGATGATGAGGTTGGAGAATGTGGCAGTATAATCAACCACACTGCGTATTCTGTGATTAAAACTAGGTTTTTCTTAAAAATCCAGATCTTAGCATTGAACAATACTTCACTTCTATGGGTGCAAATAATGCAGAGCTTGAATAAATACCTTACTTGCTTGCATGTCAGTTTCTATTTTAAAAATAGTTGCGTTAAGGGTGTTTTCATTTTGTATGCACATCGTGTGTTTCAGGAAACTATATGTTTGCAGTGTTATGCAAAATGTTGCCGGTGAATTTAGATTATTATACCATCAAGTTTCCCTCCAGCCAGTCATGAGCTTCTAGCTCGGGGAAATGCTTTCCAGAAACAGCTAACATAGCATAGTAATTCCTGTGTTTTGTGAACCTAGGAAGGTGCAAGTAAAATCTAGGGATTCAAAAGGAGGGCAGTAAAGATGGAGTCAGGCTCTTCTCTGTGGTGTCCAGTGAGAGGACAACAGGCCGTGGGCACAAGCTGAAATATGGGAAATGCCATTTAAACACAAGAACGCTACTTATTTTTTTTTTTTTTTTTTTTTTTTTTTGGGGGGGGGACAAAAAAGGGAAAAATTTTTTTGGGGGGTCTTGCTAAAAAAACCCTTTTTTTTTTTTTTTTTTTTTTTTTTTTTTACTGTGAGAGTGGTCAAACACTGGAATAAGTTGTCTGGGGAGCTTGTGCAGTGTCTATCCTTGAAGGTATTCGAAAACTGACTGGAAAAGGCCCTACGTAACTTAACCTGTTTAATTTGACCCTGCTTTGAGGGACTAGATGATCTCCAGAAGTCCTTTTGAACTTTAGCTATTCTATATGGTACTCTTCAATAATAATACTAAAACTGCAGAAAGAATATTTATTTGAGGAGATGCAGGAAGACCAACAAAGTAAGAATGACAGCACGTTTTACTTTATTCTTTCTGCCCACCAGCTGCTGTGTTATCACATGAATGTAAAAGTTTTGTAAGCAAGTGTTCTCCTGTTAGCAGGACAGATCTTTTCATTAACAGTTTGATATTTCAGACTAAGCATTTCTTAATACAAATATTATCACAGCAAATTGTGATCTATGAGTTCAATGGGGCAAAACTTGATTAATAGAAAGAAGGAATATGTCTTAAAATTGTCAGGTTTTTAGATAGAAATTCTTAATTGGTTGAGAGTAACAGCTGTTTAGAATTTGCTGCCTTTCACTGGGGAATTTCAATGGCAACACAAAATTCATTACTGTGCATTTATCTTAGACTTTATATCAATTAGGGGGGTGATTCCCACAAAAAACAGGAATTGCA